GCAGCATATTCCTCACACTCGAAAACACCGCCATCGATCCTACCTAGCGCTCCACGACACTCGACAGGCTCTCAGAGTCAGAGTCAGAGTCTCACTACCGGCTCCACCAAATAACCTACAGTCGTCCATTGTCATCGAGCATCCCCATGGCCATGGCCTGGCCCCATGGCCAAGGTGCCTGGTATCAGGCCGGTAATGTCTAATGATGCTGACTCATTGAGGAAGGGGAGGAACTACCAAAATTAATATAATTATAATTATAATTATAATACACAGTACTGCATTGCACATTGCCCGCTACTTTTCGTAGCAAGAGCACTCTGGTGCTAGAGCGACGAGCAATCCACCGTGGCAGCCAGATGAATGTTCCACATCCTGACCGTCACACAAAGACAAAGTATGCCATTGAAAACAAACCAGTACAGACGTCAGTATCCACTGACCAAAACTCCGGAAAACGAAACCAAAGAAGAGAAAACACTATCACTGCACCTCCAGTAGTAACTGTATCAAGTGTGAGAATATTAGGAGGAAGAAACTTGAAGGGTGACAAAACGTATGGCTTGAAGTGACAGGCATGGCAACAACCGTGCCACAATAAACCAAAGAACATCATTTGGACAATTCTAGAGTATAATACTGTACCAAGAGTCCAAGACTCAAGACTACATACTACCTTTCTGGACACACACATTGGGCAATGCACCGACAAAATTAATTCTAACAAACAGAACAGAAAAATGCCTTATTACAGTGCGTATCGGTTATATATAGCGTGGTCGTGTAAAAGAATACACTGGTTTTAATATCGCGTGTAAGAAATATCGGAAATAAGAATAGAAAGTCGTTTTTTTTCAAACACCCACGCTATAACCGATGCCTACTGTACTTGTATACACTGTATTCCTTTTGCCTATTCGGCACTCGTGTGTTCACCTCATTGGCCACGCTCGTTCTTCATTTTCTTTTGTTCATTTGGCTTATGCGAAGGCTTGCCAAGCCTGCTCCGTGATGTCAACGCGAAAAAGCGTATAATAATAATAATAATAATAATAATAATGCAATGAATATAACTAAGTGCGCACTCATATCACAACCATGGGGACGAATCATGTACATGTATTCCGTGTTATATTCATTGCATTATTAAGATTATTGTCTCCACGTCGCCTTTTTAAATAATAATAATAATAAACAAACAGACAAATTTTAAAGGACGCTTCACGCAGCTTCATTACACTTGAATAGTTTGCAGGCAACCTGCCTACACTCAGAGAGCACTGCATTTCACACAAATCCATTAGAGGTATCGTGGTCATGAAGACCGAAAAGTTGAAACGATACCAGTCTAGTGGATTTGTGTGAAATGCAGTGCTTTCTTGACTGAGTGTAGGCAGGTTGCCTGCAAACTATTCGAACAGAAAACATGATCAACATGATGTTTTAAAAGGCTTTGGTTTATTGTGGCAAGGTTCAAGTGTTGCCATGTCTGTCAAGCCATGTGTTTTGTCACCTTTTTTTCTTTATTCTCACATTGTTGTTGCTACCAAGTTTATGTACTCTTCTTGCTACTGATACACCCATGCAAAGCTTCTCATACTCATGAAAACGTTGTCGACAGAACTTGTGTGCTAAACGTGTGCATTGTACACGCCGGTCCGAGTGGCTGTTCAAGATCTTATCTGGCCCAGTAGTTGGTAGACTAGTTACAAAAAAAAGTCTAGCGCATAACGTGTGCCCCACTGTTTCAGTTCACATTTCGACAGTTTAGTGCCGGTAACATTGTGAAACGAGTACTTGTATAAGCGAGCATCTCGAAAGAAAAGGTGTCAGCACCGACGCAATCCACACAGTCAAGTAAGCCAATTTAGCAGTGATGCAAAGGAATATTCGCATACAGTGAATTCGGAATATTCTAGAATACCAACACCAGAAAGAATATTCGAAAGCCGGCAGTGCCATTCCGAATATCCTATTACCCAAAGTTTCGTGCTGCGTTGCTGTATTATGCAGCTCCAACCATGATCTCCTCTGTAGTGTTGAGGATGAGAGGGAAGAAATTCAGTTCTGAGAACCGTGAAGCTTGTTCTTAGGTCAAGTCATCATCGCTGCCTTGCTGCTTTGTGCCGTCAAAATGGTGTGTGTTTTTTTTGTAAAAAAACAAACAAAAAAATGCTCTTTCACCAGTGGATATTACTATCCACGTGATACTATCCACGTGATCTGTTGACAACATAACTGTTGGGTCTGATTCAGTGAAGTGACTGAACCACTTCAGAAGCGGAATATAGAATATTCGTTCGTTCGCCAAAGCAATATTCGAGGGAATATTCGTTCGAAGAAAACACCATTTCTCAGTTTTTTTGCCGTCACTGCAGAATACCAAAATCTATGGTGGCCATTACTCTCCCTGGGAGAGCAGGGCATTGGGCGTAAAAAAAAACTACCACTTCGCAGGTGAACGTATATCTACTTCAGCGTATCTGCGACTCCACTGTTAGTACTGTAGTGATCCCCTAGAGTAGAGTTGCGCGATGAAGAACGTGGACTGCCCAAGAACGTCCAGCCTGAAATTCTAAGAACGCCACAGCCTAAAGCTAAGCCGGGTGCGTTCTTATATTCTCTAGCTTCTAGGAGAAGAAGAAGAGAGAAGTCGAAGAAACCGTGGGATAACTCAAGAACGGGTCTCGAAGAATTCGGAGATATTTTGCACATGTGAAGCAATATGAAGCGCCAAAGGGGCCGCAATATTCAGTTATGAACGTAGTATGTACATGTGCGTATAAGAAAAGGGAAATGCGTACACTCATGATCAATACGTCGCTTTTAGCCGTAGTTCGCATGCGCTGATCCCAAACCGCGGGAATCTCCAAGTTTCAACCACCTCTGAAGCTTGGAGAGTTTTGGAGAGCCTCCTAAAAGTCGGAGAGAACATAAGAACAGCTCTCGAACTTTTCGGAGAGTATCCAACTTCTCCGAGAGGATTTAAGAATGCACCCTAAGAACCTGTCCCCACAGGATACCGGGATTCCACGGACGCGCAAATTTCAACCCGGGTTGAAATTTCTCATGTAAACACAGCCTAAAGTTGTACAAATGACAGATAACTCGTGCATCCTCCGAGAGGATTTAAGAATGCACCCTAAGAACCTGTCCCCACAGGATACCGCGATTCCACGGACGCGCAAATTTCAACCCGGGTTGAAATTTCTCATGTAAACACAGCCTAAAGTTGTACAAATGACAGATAACTCGTGAATAATAGACACCCTTAGCAAACAACGGTAACGCTATTTTTTACGGTACTCGTACCTTGATCACCCAAATAGCGTTCAAGCTGCAGCGTATAAACGTTATGGGGGCTGATTTATCGTTGTGACCAACGGTACGTGTTTTAGCCAAATATTGCATAGTCCGTACGCATTTCACCTTGTATCGCGTATATGGTGAAAAAAATGGTTGTACCGCGTGAAATCAAAGCTATTCTCGTGGCAACAGCGTACTAAAAATAGCGTGCATCTTGCTAAAGGTCGAACCCAAATCACGGTATTTTCCCCCTTATGATAATACCGTTACAACATAACGTTTTTTGCTAAGGGTGTCTAATGACCACATTATACCGCATAATGGGCTGTTTTCGCCCGCATTAATTATGCACATAATTATAAGATTTTGTCCGCGTAATTCTGTGGGGACAGAAGAACAGCGGTGTTGGTTTTCTGGCAGCTTGTGGAATACATGTGATCCAGTACGGATTGTTTCTAAGAACGTGCTATAAGAACGCAGCCAGATTGCAGAAAAATAAGAACGTCCCAGGCTAACCCCTTGGAAACAACGTTCTTGGGCGCGTGACTCTACTGTAGGCTTTCCCCGTGGAATAATCCGAATTTAGAATTTTTGACCGTGCTTTCCCCAAAGAAAGAGACGTTACAGTACTCGCACTGTGTTGTTCTGTCCCTTTGGAAAAACGCGGCCAATAATTCAATATTCCGCGGGGGGAAAGGGGGGTTTTCTGCGGCATTTTCTGTGGTAAAATCAAAAATCTGCGGCACTTTCTGCAAGTTTTTCACCCTCCTTGCATGAAAGAGTACTTTTCACACTATCATTTGCAGTCGCAAACTGATTGAGAGCGAAGAATCTTGGAGATTCTGCACTCACCTACACTCGCAAGAGCATGTGCTCAAACAGATCGCAAAGTAGCTTTTCTGCTGCTTTCTGAGTAGTAATTTTACTAATTTATCCGAAAAATTTCAAATTCCGCGGATTCCGTGATTTCCGCGGATGATGACAATTTCTGCGAAATTTGCCGCGGCCGCGGAATCGCGTTTTTCCAAGGGTTGTTACACTGTATCATGCTTATAATTTATAACTCGATGGCCCGGGAACAATCTGACAGAACTAGAATCAGATGTAGCCTCCTCAAAAGAAAATCCATGTTTGACCCACTGCCACCTACATGTAAACAAATCAGTGTGTGCCAACCTCCCCCCCCCCCCCAAAAAAGATTTGAAAATATTGAATGGAAGCTCCATCATCCGTGGATGGGCACTCATCACAGACATCAGACACTTGACTTACTAGTAACTTTAGTCTTTGGTATGCCATGCATGGCGGTGCGGGGGATTTAGACACAACGTCATCAGTGGTCCGTGCCCGGCGCCCGTGGACCATGATGGTGCCTTTGGTCACAGTTCACCCCTACTGGCCCTAGACCCGAACAGCCTCAACAGGTGGTCAGGTTGTGCTGTGACAATCATGCTCTTCAAAGGCACGTGGAACTCTGAATGAAAATCTCTTCAGTGAAAGCACCAATCCATTTCCATGCTCGGGTTTACTGCGTGCAATGCCATTCGCAGGTCGAAAAGGGAAAGCACTACTAAAACTTAAATAACCGACGAGGAGACAACAGTCGTAAAATAGCAATGAAAAATATCAATTGTGCACTCATAATCATGTATAAACAATTAAAATGAAACAATTCCAGAACGTTTTCGTGTGACCATCATCAGTGGAACATCGTCACATAGTAAGAATCACTAAAACAACCAGTTATATAGCTAGAGTAACATGAAAAGAAGCGTGAGAATGCAGCACAGCTAGCGGTTATGCATAACCGCTAGCTGTGTTCACACTACACGCGTTATGCATAACCGCTAGCTGTGCTGCATTCTCACGCTTCTTTTCATGTTACTCTAGCTATATAACTGGTTGTTTTAGTGATTCTTACTATGTGACGATGTTCCACTGATGATGGTCACACGAAAACGTTCTGGAATTGTTTCATTTTAATTGTTTATACATGATTATGAGTGCACAATTGATATTTTTCATTGCTATTTTACTACTAAAACTGCAGACCTTTTACACTCTCAAAGACATAATGGAATGGCCCAACAATCACACACTGACACAGCACACGCGCAAGAGATTTTTTTACTCAATACAAATCACGACAGGTGAACGTATTGACTATTGAGTTGAGATGGTACGAAAGCGGATGATCAGGTTCTGAAACGTTATGTAGCAAAGCAGTAAACCAAAGATGGAAAGGAGTTGAGTGAGATCAGCTGGAAAAGATAAAGCAACGGGTACAGAAGTACACCAAGCAGATCGAGAATCGTCAAGATTGTAAGAATGACTACGAAATCAAAAAAAAACACCTGAAAAGATGATTGTCAACTTACAGCTGTCCGCAGTCGGCGACGAGGATCTCAGCGCTGGTCTTGCCTGACTGGCTGCCATAGCTCTCAACCTTCTTTACAACATCCATGCCTTCAACAACGGAGCCGAAAACGACGTGTTTGCCGTCCAACCAAGTGGTCTTCTCGGTGCACAGGAAGAACTGGGAGCCGTTGGTGCCGGGTCCAGCATTGGCCATGCTGAGAATTCCGGGGCCAGTATGCTTCAGGGTGAAGTTCTCGTCAGCGAACTTCTCACCATAGATTGACTTTCCGCCAGTTCCATTCCTGCGGGTGAAGTCACCACCCTGGCACATGAATCCTGGGATGACACGGTGGAAGGGAGAGCCCTTGTAGCCGAAGCCCTTCTCGCCAGTGCAAAGAGCACGGAAGTTTTCAGCGGTCTTGGGCACAACGTCGGCGCGAATCTCCATCACGATGCGACCGAGGCTTTTGCCACCGGCGGTGATATCGAAATAGCATCTTGGCTTGGCCATGGTTGCGACTTGAGAAATTGGTCTTGCAACAGAACGGGAAAGAGAAACACGAACCTCGTGTTCAAAAGCAATCAGCTTTTATCATGCAGAGGGCTCCTGACCGACCCTGCCGCTGCAAGCAAAATGGCGGAGTTAGCCGAGAGCTCACTGGCAGTTGCCGAGGTGAAAGTCACGTGTTGAGTGTACAACTCCATGCCAGTCATCGCGGCGCGGCAGCCCACGGCCCGGCCCCCACTTACTTCCTTTTCTTCCCGCCCGGCGCCCGCGACCGGCCTCGCGATATCACAAAAGTAACACGTGCAAAAGCCAAAAAAAAACAAAAAACAGACAAAAACACAAAACAGCACGTGAAGCTTGCAGACAGTCGGTAGACAAAACAAAAATATTGATCTGTTGTGCGTCCATGCAGTGGACTACAGGAAGATAAAAAGAAAGTACATGTGCTCACTGTTCAAAGCTAGTAGAAGGCCATGGCTCTACGTTGTGCTCCTTGGAAGACATTGAGCTCCTGGAAGAGCTTTGCTCGCGTTCATCAGGATGTTCGATTTTCCTCTCTTTTGATCGACGAGAAGGAGCATGAGTTTCTGGTCAAAGATTTGCAGTTAGCTAGTGACAACCCTGGAGTGTTCGATGGAACTTGGGGTGGTGAAGGCGAGGTAAGCATCAGGGAATAATTTACTTTCAATTTGTTGCATTCAAAATCAAACTTGAATAGCAATTTTCTTCAACACTTGACAGCACTGTCTTTCTGCAGAGCTGATCAGAGTGCAAAGCTTAGACCACAAGTGCACTGTAACACCTTAGTTGCAAACCTAACCTGGTGCCAGGATGCATAGCTCAGCACTTTCGAAGTTTCATGCATCTCTTTCATCCCTTAGAGACACACCTAGCATGCACGCTGTGCATCCAAGGGTACAGTGAACAATCAACATGCATCGCAGTTTTCTGCGACACATTTCTGAAATTGCTTCGCACCTCGGAAGAATTGCGTAGAAAACTGCAATGCGATACCGGTTAAATTATTCCTTGAGCATACGCATGAACAAGTCAAGTACTCTTGTTGGAGTCATGCACGGACACAAACTTACAGAATAGAAGAAAAAGGAGTTGCAATGTAGTGCATGCATGTACAGTAGGTATCGGTTATAGCGTGGGTGTTTGAAAAACGACATTTGATTCTTATTGCCGATATTTCTTCATCATCATCATCAGCCTGTTTGCGTTGGCATCGGCGTTAGCCTAGCCTTCGCTTGGGCCACACCCAATGTTAGGCATGATACCAGAAGAGAAGGGGAGAAAAAAGAGAAAGAAAGCAAAACAAAAAGGGAAAAAATATAGGTGAACAAACACTTGACCATATGCATACTATTCAAAGACACTAACAATGCAACACGCTGGTGCGGCACTAGCACATTGCAAGTACTGTAGAGGCAGAAAATTTCGTCAGTCAATAATTTCGTCCAACTCCAAAGAAAAGGAGTTCGTCCGGTTGAAAATTTCGTCCATGGATCATAAGAGTGTATAGAAAAGCAGGGCAAATCGACATTAGTCCTACATTTAATTTAGTCCAAAAGCTCCTCGGACGAAAAAGACGAAATTAAATTCCAGACGAATATTTCTGCTTGTACAGTAGCCATAAGTAAGTTAGACCTGTTCAGTGGTCACCCATTCGGTCAATATGGGAAATATATAGACCTCGTCTTGGTCAATATCCTATACATACGACCACACTATAACCGATACGCACTGTACATGTAGTTTGATATTCACCTTGCGTTGACTCTTGTTTTATTGAATATTGTTCCTATTGATTGATTACCGCAATAGGGATTACAGATTTTAAAGATGTTAGCATCCGTGCAGTGATGCTAATTTTCTGCTGCCCTTGTGCGTCAGTGTGTGAAGCATGATGTCTCAGTGTGCATCAAGGAGACATAGTGTCCTGGCACGACACGACACGTGGCGCCTGTAATGTGAAGCGGCATGGGGTTCGCTTCCGGGCTGCCCGTTCTGGTCACCCGTTCCACGCTTAGGCAGGGCCAGTTCACGCACGCTTGTATCTGGCACCGATATTCTGGGCCGCATTTCAGGTCAAGCCCATGATCTCAAATCGCATACGGTATACTATATAGTCAACCTTGTGCATGCCGGCCATGATTTTACCCACAACTCCCGAATAATGACACACTCTGCAGACCTACATGTAGGCTCCGTTTGCATGAGAATTTTCAATCCGGGTTGAAAGTCTGTACGGTGTAAAAAAAAATTAAAAAAAAGGTTGGTGTTTATAATTGTTGACCCGGATCGATTACTAATATGCCGACAAAATCCAATTATCTAAACTGATGTGGCTGCGTGACTACTTTCGGGGGGAAATTCCCTCTGCTATGCTGTGCAAACCTGGCAGGCAGTACGCGCATAAGTACGGCAGTGCGATTTCCCGAATTCAACTCGGGCCTACAAGCGCAATGCAACATGTATGAGTATACGCTCCAGTCAATCTGTGTTCACGGCGGATTGAAACTTGCCCCGGGTTGACAACTCTCAAGTAAACGCAGCCCTAGTGACAATTTGACGGCATGCTTTGAACCTCACGAATCACAATACTTTTGTCATGCGCGATTGAGGGCTGTTAGCCACAAGATAGTCTGTACCAGCAGAAGCACAGAGCTCCGAAGAGTGTGTGTGCAACTCCTTATGATGAATAGCTGTCATGACAAAGACAGATAGAGAGAATGGACTACAATGATGTAATGTACTCTGTGTGTGTGTGTGTGTGTGTGTGTGTGTGTGTGTGCGTGCGTGCGTGCGTGTTGGCATGTGTGTGTGTTGGCATGTGTGCATGCATGTACCCTATACAGGTGGTCACATCATATTCTCCATCAATGGCAAGCCTATTGCCCGAGTCACACAGGTTTGTGTTCTCAGTGTGTTGTGCATTGGGGTCCATTGGTCTCTATGCATGTTGGGGTGTCTGCACTGGTCTCTCTGGGTGTTCAGTGTTCAAACTTAATGCATACCTCATGAACACAAGGTGGAGAAATTGAATTGAATGGGTTGACCTGAGAGACAGAGACCGAGAGAGAGAGACAGAGAGAGAGAGAGAGACAGAGAGAGAGAGAGAGAGAGAGAGAGAGAGAGAGAGAGAGAGAGAGAGAGAGAGAGAGAGAGAGAGAGAGAGAGAGAGAGAGAGAGAGAGAGAGAGAGAGAGAGAGAGAGAGAGAGAGAGAGAGAGAGAGAGAGAGAGAGAGAGAGACAGAGAGAGAGAGACAGAGAGAGAGAGACAGAGAGAGAGAGACAGAGAGAGAGAGACAGAGAGAGAGAGACAGAGAGAGAGAGAGACAGAGAGAGAGAGACAGAGAGAGACAGAGAGAGAGACAGAGAGAGAGACAGAGAGAGAGAGAGAGACAGAGAGAGAGAGAGAGACAGAGAGAGAGAGAGAGACAGAGAGAGAGAGAGAGAGAGAGAGAGAGAGAGAGAGAGAGAGAGAGAGAGAGAGAGAGAGAGAGAGAGAGAGAGAGAGAGAGAGAGAGAGAGAGAGAGAGAGAGAGAGAGAGAGAGAGAGAGGGTGAGCTAGCACTGGCACTGGCACTAAAAAAACAGTAATGGTTTTGGGTGGGGTCGAGTTAGTGGTGCCCTTGAGTTGACCATGATGGGGCCCAAGGCCCTTAACCATACCGATACTACACAAGAGATTGCAGTAATACAACTGTTGGAAAAATTATGCCTCTTGTTGTTGTTGAAATCTTTCCTGTCCAGGCGTCAGTTGATGACTATCATCGAGTAGTAAAGAATGCCCGGGAAGCTTGGCTGGAGTGGAGAGAGGTAGGCTGTAACTTTTAAAATGCATAGTTAGCGCCATGATGATAAGGTTTGTCCATGGCATTTCCCCGCTTAGTCTGTGATGCCAGTGGGCAATACAGGAACTCACTCAGTATGTGATGCCAGTGGGCAATACAGGAACTCACTAAGTATGTGATGTCAGTGGGCAATACAGGAACTCACTCAGTATGTGATGCCAGTGGGCAATACAGGAACTCACTCAGTATGTGATGTCAGTGGGCAATACAGGAACTCACTCAGTATGTGATGTCAGTGGGCAATACAGGAACTCACTCAGTATGTGATGCCAGTGGGCAATACAGGAACTCACTCAGTATGTGATGGCAGTGGGCAATACAGGAACTCACTCAGTATGTGATGCCAGTGGGCAATACAGGAACTCACTCAGTATGTGATGTCAGTGGGCAATACAGGAACTCACTCAGTATGTGATGCCAGTGGGCAATACAGGAACTCACTCAGTATGTGATGCCAGTGGGCAATACAGGAACTCACTCAGTATGTGATGCCAGTGGGCATTACAGGAACTCACTCAGTATGTGATGTCAGTGGGCAATACAGGAACTCACTCAGTATGTGATGTCAGTGGGCAATACAGGAACTCACTCAGTATGTGATGTCAATGGGCAATACAGGAACTCACTCAGTATGTGATGTCAGTGGGCAATACAGGAACTCACTCAGTATGTGATGTCAATGGGCAATACAGGAACTCACTCAGTATGTGATGTCAATGGGCAATACAGGAACTCACTCAGTATGTGATGCCAGTGGGCAATACAGGAACTCACTCAGTATGTGATGCCAGTGGGCAATACAGGAACTCACTCAGTATGTGATGCCAGTGGGCAATACAGGAACTCACTCAGTATGTGATGTCAATGGGCAATACAGGAACTCACTCAGTATGTGATGCCAGTGGGCAATACAGGAACTCACTCAGTATGTGATGTCAATGGGCAATACAGGAACTCACTCAGTATGTGATGCCAGTGGGCAATACAGGAACTCACTCAGTATGTGATGTCAGTGGGCAATACAGGAACTCACTCAGTATGTGATGCCAGTGGGCAATACAGGAACTCACTCAGTATGTGATGCCAGTGGGCAATACAGGAACTCACTCAGTATGTGATGTCAGTGGGCAATACAGGAACTCACTCAGTATGTGATGCCAGTGGGCAATACAGGAACTCACTCAGTATGTGATGCCAGTGGGCAATACAGGAACTCACTCAGTATGTGATGCCAGTGGGCAATACAGGAACTCACTCAGTATGTGATGCCAGTGGGCAATACAGGAACTCACTCAGTATGTGATGCCAGTGGGCAATACAGGAACTCACTCAGTATGTGATGCCAGTGGGCAATACAGGAACTCACTCAGTATGTGATGCCAGTGGGCAATACAGGAACTCACTCAGTATGTGATGCCAGTGGGCAATACAGGAACTCACTCAGTATGTGATGCCAGTGGGCAATACAGGAACTCACTCAGTATGTGATGCAAGTGGGCAATACAGGAACTCACTCAGTATGTGATGTCAGTGGGCAATACAGGAACTCACTCAGTATGTGATGCCAGTGGGCAATACAGGAACTCACTCAGTATGTGATGTCAGTGGGCAATACAGGAACTCACTCAGTATGTGATGTCAGTGGGCAATACAGGAACTCACTTAGTATGTGATGCCAGTGGGCAATACAGGAACTCACTCAGTATGTGATGTCAGTGGGCAATACAGGAACTCACTCAGTATGTGATGTCAGTGGGCAATACAGGAACTCACTCAGTATGTGATGTCAGTGGGCAATACAGGAACTCACTCAGTATGTGATGCCAGTGGGCAATACAGGAACTCACTCAGTATGTGATGCCAGTGGGCAATACAGTGTGGTAGATTTGGTGTCACGTGTTTGTTTCGTCTTGGTCGCTGTGGACACGCGTCATTGGTTGGTGGTGTTGTGCGCATGCGCGAAACTGTGTGAGCTAGTCTTTGGTCTGTCGTCTTGTCAAGATGTAGTCGTTTTCCGTGTTCTTGTTCATTCGTCAATAAAAGAGTGTAAAAAGGCAGTCCAGTGGTGGCGGTTGAGCTGATGCAGTGATGAAGAGTGTAATGGTAGACTAACAGCAACAACATTTGGCGCCCAACTATCTCTCGACGCGGAGTTCTGCCTCCGCAGCTCACGACCCTGAGATGTGTGTTGCTCCCGTCACTGCTGGACTGTCCTGGTTTATTCGTCACCCCTGTCCGTGTTCGAACGTTCGTCGTGGAGCTGTGTCGTCGTGCTGTGTCGTCGTGCTGTGTCGTCGTCCGGTGTCCCGTCGTCGTCGTCCCGTCGTCGTCGTCCCGTCGTCGTCGTCCCGTCGTCGTCGTCGTCTACTCAATTCGATCAAGCTGACGCCCTCCGCTGAGCTGTGTTCAAGTGTCGCTGTGCGTCCGCCGTTTCGTTGTCCTGAGACGAGTGGAGTATCAGCTTCGCAGTTGGCTTCCTGCTGCTCCGAAGTCGTGTGCTGGCTGGGAATGCGCCGCCTTTCTTCTCTCCATATCTCTCTTCTTTTCTTTGTTTTCCGGTGAGTGTTTATGTGTGTGCATGCGTGCGTGCATACGGGAGTTTGTTTGAATTGCTACTTGTCTTGGGAACTGGCGTCTGATCATGGTGAACCACGGTTGGTTCTCCTTGTGGCAGTCCACATCGAAGGCAACGAACGTCCGATCAGGGTGAGCCCCGGTTCATTGCTGGGAGCTAGACTCGCTGCTTGTTTGTCGTTGCCATGTATATATTTTATTTATTTTTGTTTTTTCGGTGACAGTCATGGGTTTGACTGGCGTTGTGTGGATGGGCAGGGCTCATCGGTTTTCAGGCTTAGGTTTAGCCTGTGTTTTTTTTGTGTGTGCGTGGTTAGACAGCAATGCAGTGTTTCTTCTCTTCTCTTTAACATTCACCTCTCTTTCTTTCTTCTGGCTTTGGTTGCCCTGTTTTATTCTGGGGAGCTACATGCGTTGGTCCTGTGGCTACTTTTGCTGTTTGCGGCTGCGTCTCTCTATGCGTTGGTCCTGTGGCTACTTTTGCTGTTTGCGGTTGCGTCTCTCTGCGTATTGTGTTTTATTTGGTCATACCGAGGACGGTATGTGTTTTTTTGGTCGGGATATTGTGGTAGATTTGGTGTCACGTGTTTGTTTCGTCTTGGTCGCTGTGGACACGCGTCATTGGTTGGTGGTGTTGTGCGCATGCGCGAAACTGTGTGAGCTAGTCTTTGGTCTGTCGTCTTGTCAAGATGTAGTCGTTTTCCGTGTTCTTGTTCATTCGTCAATAAAAGAGTGTAAAAAGGCAGTCCAGTGGTGGCGGTTGAGCTGATGCAGTGATGAAGAGTGTAATGGTAGACTAACAGCTACAACACAGGAACTCACTCAGTATGTGATGTCAGTGGGCAATACAGGAACTCACTCAGTATGTGATGCCAGTGGGCAATACAGGAACTCACTCAGTATGTGATGCCAGTGGGCAATACAGGAACTCACTCAGTATGTGATGCCAGTGGGCAATACAGGAACTCACTCAGTATGTGATGCCAGTGGGCAATACAGGAACTCACTCAGTATGTGATGTCAGTGGGCAATACAGGAACTCACTCAGTATGTGATGTCAGTGGGCAATACAGGAACTCACTCAGTATGTGATGTCAGTGGGCAATACAGGAACTCACTCAGTATGTGATGTCAGTGGGCAATACAGGAACTCACTCAGTATGTGATGCCAGTGGGCAATACAGGAACTCACTCAGTATGTGATGTCAGTGGGCAATACAGGAACTCACTCAGTATGTGATGTCAGTGGGCAATACAGGAACTCACTCAGTATGTGATGCCAGTGGGCAATACAGGAACTCACTCAGTATGTGATGTCAGTGGGCAATACAGGAACTCACTCAGTATGTGATGCCAGTGGGCAATACAGGAACTCACTCAGTATGTGATGCCAGTGGGCAATACAGGAACTCACTCAGTATGTGATGCCAGTGGGCAATACAGGAACTCACTCAGTATGTGATGTCAGTGGGCAATACAGGAACTCACTCAGTATGTGATGCCAGTGGGCAATACAGGAACTCACTCAGTATGTGATGCCAGTGGGCAATACAGGAACTCACTCAGTATGTGATGCCAGTGGGCATTACAGGAACTCACTCAGTATGTGATGTCAGTGGGCAATACAGGAACTCACTCAGTATGTGATGCCAGTGGGCAATACAGGAACTCACTCAGTATGTGATGTCAGTGGGCAATACAGGAACTCACTCAGTATGTGATGCCAGTGGGCAATACAGGAACTCACTCAGTATGTGATGTCAGTGGGCAATACAGGAACTCACTCAGTATGTGATGCCAGTGGGCAATACAGGAACTCACTCAGTATGTGATGCCAGTGGGCAATACAGGAACTCACTCAGTATGTGATGCCAGTGGGCAATACAGGAACTCACTCAGTACGTGATGCCAGTGGGCAATACAGGAACTCACTCAGTATGTGATGCCAGTGGGCAATACAGGAACTCACTCAGTATGTGATGCCAGTGGGCAATACAGGAACTCACTCAGTATGTGATGTCAGTGGGCAATACAGGAACTCACTCAGTATGTGATGCCAGTGGGCAATACAGGAACTCACTCAGTATGTGATGCCAGTGGGCAATACAGGAACTCACTCAGTATGTGATGCCAGTGGGCAATACAGGAACTCACTCAGTATGTGATGTCAGTGGGCAATACAGGAACTCACTCAGTATGTGATGCCAGTGGGCAATACAGGAACTCACTCAGTATGTGATGTCAGTGGGCAATACAGGAACTCACTCAGTATGTGATGTCAGTGGGCAATGTGGTAGTCCCACTGAACTATGGCTGATAGTTGCATGACTCTGGTTGTAATGTATGTTTTGTCTCTGTCAGTGATGCGCTTTCAGTAATCTGCTGATACTA